CTACGAGAAAAATCGTGGGAAATTTTATTTTTCTGGGAAATCTCACATTTCAATAATAGTTTATCATGTCATGTTTTCTTTCTATCATTTATTATACGAAAAGTTGCATCTTGAAGACTCACCTAAGAGAGAAATTTTGAGGTTTTATGCTGCATATTATTACTGTACCTATGTTTTACAAGTCTATTTGTTAGTTCATGTAATATCTATGTACTGTGTTTGCACATCATTGAACAGCAGAGCACTCGCTGAAAGTAAATATCACTCATCGCACTTTAGTTTCGAATTTGCATTTATAAGTTAAGGAATTTGTTAAAGCTTACATTCCCATTTATATCCTATCGTTTGTAACTGTAAATGTGATTATTTGAAATTTCTCTATTAGTCAATTACTCGTATTTTACAACAATTTTAATATAATTTATAAAATCAAATCATTGGCATTTTCAGCTGCAGGTCTTTTTGTGACCAAATTGAGAACTAGATTAAGTGATCAAAATATCAACCATTTTTGTTTTTTGAAGTCTTATTATGAAAATTTATAAGTTTTTACAAGTTTTTTTTTTAGAGAGATTTTTGTTTTCATAAATTTTTTGAGTATTTTTTATGTTCAACTGAAAATAATTTTTTTTGGAGAAGTTGTATGTTTTGTTCAATTCAAAATAATTGTCTTTTTTCTCATTAAATTTATGGAATAAATATATTTTTATTTCATCTTTAGAAATAAAAACAGTATTTTTTCATAATCATTATTATGTTCATTAAAACTCCCAATGAAATGCTTTATTTTACTTTCATCTTATAATGTAGGAGAACATAAATTAATTGAGCATAATGTGTTGGCATGGGTGAGATTAGCCCTACACTTTTAGTTACTTATTAGAAAATAAAATTATTCAAATTTATGATATTCCTGTATGATATTTTTTATTCATATGAAATTCTAATTTACTATCTCATGAAATTCTAATTTACTATCTCATCCCAGAATTTCCTGGAATCCCAGGAAAAAAAAAAATTATTTTTCCTGTAATCCTGCTGGAGGCAAATTTCCTGGGAAATGAGAAACCCTAGTCCTAACACAAACCTTATGAGAAATGGGGTCCCAGTGGATTTGGCTGAATTTTTATTGTTTTGTAGTTCTTGTAGTCCTGATCAAGTCTCCAGACACACAATAAGAGAATGGACAATTTTTCAATTATTGAGAGGCCACAATGCAAAAACAGTATAATTCACACACACATATTGTGAGACCTTAAATGTTTTCTGTTTCAAAATATAAATTGATATGTCCTAACAAGAGTTCCTTTTCAATCTATCAGATCTCAGAGGAATGAGTCTCTTGAGAGAAGAACACCTATGTGCCACGTAGTGTGTTATGAACCCAAATGGCATGAGAATCAATCTTGTATATATTGCGTAATGATTTACCCACAAGGAAATCTAGATAATGTTCCAAACATCAACAACATTTAAAAACACGTTTTATATTTTAAAACAAAAAAGATTTATGGTTCACAACATTTGTGAAAATTACACTGTTTTTGCATATTGAACTCTTGATAACTCAAAAATTGTCTGTATTTTGACTTGTGCCTTTAGTGAACTTCTGATCACGACCACTAAACTATAAAATATCAAAGATTCAGCCAAATTCACTGCAACCTATTTCCCATAAGATTTATGCAGGGTTCTTGCCTTAATTTGAAAGAGAGTGAGAAATATTACCACACTAAATGAAAACACACATAAAATTATGAAAGATTTAAATTTAAACTTACCATTTGAATATGCCCCTTCTTTAATTTGAAATAATGCAGCTAATCCAATGTTATCTTTAGTCATAACTCTGTTTAGCATATCATCAGAACCTTCTGCATTTGCCATTGCAAGTTGATTGAATTCAACTAGATATTCTTTTATTAATGTAAACCTAAAATAAAAAATATATAGAGAACTAAGATTATGGCAAATATATTTATAAATAAATAAACTTTGAATCAGTTTATTCTAAGGACTATAAGAAAAACTAACTTTTAATGTAAAGTACTTAGTTATAAAAATAACAACTATTACTTTCTTTACAAAAAAGTTAAGACTTGATAAAAAGTACATAAAAAACCATGAATAAATATTAAACTACAATCTGTTGNTTTTTTTACTAAAATATGATAACATGCCACCAAATGTTGCCAGAAAAGTTAAGCAACTTGTTTCTGGATTTTTTGTAATTGGATGTTGTATCTGCAGTATGCTATTTCAATCACTCTCTGCTGCTACTACAGAAATTTTCTACGTAATGATTTAATAGTAATTTAAAAAGAATTTATTCCTATTGTACTAGATAAATTTTTATTTATGTTGCACATGCTCTAATTTGAAAGTGGATGAAATGCTGTAGAATATTCTGTAATCTTTTTCTGCATTCAATTTTCTTTTTCTTTCAAAACAGCAACAAAAGAATATGCTTTACACCTAACAGTGTACAACTTTTATACATTAAATAAAACATTAGAAAAAGTTTGCTGTAAACCATTTTGCAAATGAAGGAATTTCAAAACAGAATACAGTAAACCTGTGTAAACTGGAATTGCATGGCATCAAATATTTTTCAAGTTTGACAAGTTTCTGATTTAAACAGGTTTCTTTTTAACATAAAAAAATCATTCTGTACCAAAGAATTTTTCCATTTGGGCAGGTTTCTGTTTTAGTCAAGTCCTGTTTTGGACAGGTTTTACTGTATATATATTGCATTTTCCAACATTCTGAGAGTGGATTACCACCACAGAGAATAAACAGATCTGGTAGAGAAGCAAAAATTCTAACAAAAGCCAATTAATTAGTGTTTTTGAAGTCAGTGACTTTCAATTCTATTTGTAACCTTGAACTGAAAATTAGTTCACTCAATGAGACTGAAAACAAAATAAAAAAAAAAGCAAGAAGCAGGTCATTCTGCACAAAACAAATATGCAGAGATAACAAGCAAAAATAAAAGTATGGAACTTTATTGTAAAATTTCTCTGAAAGTTCGTTTTGGATGATGAATATTCACTGTTTTGCACTCAACAATCAATGTAAATGGTAGATTTTATACCAGTGATACCTTCTCTACACCTGTAAAGTTTTGAGGAAAACTTGAGAATAAAGTTTCAGTTTGGACTGCAATGGGACTGAAAGAATTGTGTCAAGTCCTAAACAGAAAATTAAGTTTTGCTATCAATATCCACTGATATTTAAATGAATGTATATGACACTGCCTGATTCCTTACATTTAAAAGAACTATTCTCAAGCAGAATAAGTCTTATGGCCAGATCAAGCATGATCCCACTAAGTCAAAACTGTACTGGATTATCTGTGACATGAAATCACTTTTTTTTTAAACATAAGTTTGTGAATAATGCTATTTTAGTTTAGTTAATTTAGCTATTTTAGACGAGAGTTTAACATATTAACAAAATAAAAAAAAATACCTGATTCTGGTAGAGAATTAAAATCACCACAGAGAAGAAGAGGAATGTTGTTGACATCGTGTTTCTGAGAACTTGGATAAAATACTGCATTGGCTTCTTCAGCAATAGTATAAAGTTCATGCATTAGCATCATGGTTTGGATAAGTTTAACATCACAGAATTCTGGATCCCAATGAATATGAGCTGTACATGCTAGAATTGATTGTGCATGATTCAATTCTGGTTGGAGACCTAAATATTTATAATAAATATATTTAACAAATTAAAACTTATATTGAAAAAAAATTAAAATACAAATATATAAATTCTTAATTTCATATACATAATTATCTTACTTAAATATGATGATAAAAATTAATTCATATGTTCAACATAAAAAGAAATATACAATCATTTAAGATTAAAAAAAAAATTATGCTAAAAATTTTTTCATTTAACATATTTCTTAAGCTGTAGCAGATACAAGTCATAAATTAAGAAATCTACTGTACATGAATTTCTTTATTTGTGCCTTTTGCAAATTTTATATTTAACAATTTGAGAAATAAAGCATTCAGCCTGGTCTTTGTTTGCATTTCCATGACAGTTTTTGTTTGCTGATTTTTATCATCTTTTCCTCAATATCCTGTTTTAAACTTAGGTTTTTTAAAACTGTTTTACTGTATTTTATATTCTACAAATAAAGAAGACCTCACATACTGTACTGTACATTTCTTTTTGCAATTACTTTGTAAAAATTGGATTTTATTTAATTTTATGATATAAAATAATTTGGATATTATCTGATAACAACAGTTAATTGCTGAAATAACTAACACAATTAAAAGTCAGAGAACTATGGCAACTGTTGAAAGAAATGATGTTAAGTTTTTGAATAGTTACAGTATCATCTATATTTACTGGAATGTTTAAAACATGATTTATATTGTAAAAAGAAAAAAGGAAGAAACACACTGACAAATTAAAAATGTAAACAGTAAAATAAACAAACAAACAAAAAAAAAAAAATTAAGACTTATAGGAAAAACATAGGACATGGCAACATCAACAAAATTAACAAAACTGAATAGCAAAACTTTAGGAAATATTGATACCAACAATATATATAAATTAAGAAGAAAGTTATAGTCAATTCTTTCAATATATTACAATTATCAAGGTTAAATTATAGGAATATTATGTAATCCAGTTTTTACCTTTAAGAGAGAAAATAATCTGATTATCAATGATAAAGGGTAGCTATTTCCTATGAAAAGAAACTGGACTTAAAAATCTATTTTCATCCAATCTTTGATATATTTTTTCATATAATTACACAGTGATATGTTTGAATGGGGATAATTTGAAAATAACGTTATGTCCATAAAAAACATATTAGTTGTATGAAGTTCAAATTCTGTCTGAATATACAGTATATTCAGTATTTGACCATCAGAATATATACTTTCAAACTAAATTTTTAGAATTGAATGTGATAAAATCTAGCAATTTATTCAATAAGTAAAATAACAATTTAATAAAATGCAAACTGGACTGGATTTGCTATTCTCTGCATAGGATAAAGAACAAAGCTGGTATGTAGCTATAAAGGTTATGAATTTGCAACAAAATATAGCACTAAACAATGATGCAAATTATCATTACAATTTTTATGTAGCATTTGTCAATTATTATTTTATTCATTATTGTACTTGATATATTGATACAATTCAATTACTGTCAATAATACATTCACAGTGCAAGCAATGAGACAACCGTGTGATCAAAAATGATCAGGAATAATTTAATAAAACAACATTTGAATTCATTCATCAAAATTTATTTTGTCCCCTTCAAAGTAATCCCTTCCCACTGCAATGAAGTTAGGCCAACATTTCTTTCAATCCTAAAAACAAGCTTTAAAATCAATTTTGAGAAACCCCTTCAGGACTCACGGTGTATTTTGTTTTATGACATCAATAGACTCAAAACGGTGACAGGAAATGGAAATTTTAGTCAAGAAAACAGGAAAAAGTCACATGGTGTCACATTAGGTGAATATAGAGCTTGCAGAACTGTATTTGTTTAATATTTTGACCAAAATTTCACAAATAACAAGAGCATTGTGAGCAGCTGTATTATCTTGGTGCAAAAGTTTTCTCATCACAAATCAGGTTGTTTTCTACAAACTGCTTCATTCAAAGAATGCAAAATGCTCGAATAATAATCTCTGTAGACAGTTTGACCAGTTGGAAGGAATTCATGATGCACAACACCATGATAATTGAAAACAGCAGTTAACATAACCTTGATTTTTGACTGACATTGATGTGGTGTTTTTGGTCTTGTTTAACCTTTTGAGCATGATTTACTTTATTGTATTTTTTGTATCAAAGCATAGATCTACGTTTCATCATCTGTAACAATGCATTTTAAGACCAATTTGCTTTGAGAAAACATTTCCTCAGCGACTTGAACACACTGTTGTTTTTGGAAAAATTTCTATGTTTTCCAGATGACTCAAGAACCAACATGTCACAAACCCAATAATCTTTCAAAATTGCTTGACAAGATAAAATTGATACTGGAACATGTTCAATAATGTTCCTAATTGTTAAACAATGATCACTGAGCACGAAATTTGACATGAGTGATGTTTTGTTCAGTTGAAGAGTCTACCAGGGCATTATTCAGCTTCAATGTGTTCTCTGCCTTCTTGAACATGTTGTACAAATCTCAAACTCTTCTTTTTGATAGACTATCATCACTGAAGGCTTTTTGCAACATTTACAATGTTTTTGTAGTGGTAATTCTGTTGCAAAAACAAAATTTAATGCATATTCTTTGCTCAATTACATTCAATATTTTCAAAAATTGTCTATGCAAAAAAAAATTCTTTACACACAGAATAACACGTGCAGTTTAAATGAACCATTCCCAATACTTTTTGATTACAGTAGTATTTTTCATAAAATGGTGACAGACAATGCAAATGTGTTATTGCCTTCAATAGACACTTTTTCTTGCTATAATTCTAAAACGAATTATAAAAGGAAGATTATCAAAGTCAAACAAAGCAAGTCAATTATCCTGAAGTATATTAGGAAAGCTAACTTGACCTTAAACATAGAAGCTGTTGAAGTTGTAAAGCTAACTGGGGTGTTATCTTTATAGCAAGATGCAACAATTTCTAGTTAAGAGAGTGTCCAAATCATACCATTAAGACAACATAAAATCTTTACAAATTAAATTAAACAATAAATAACAAAAACTCCAAGGTAAAAGGTAACAGCTTCAGATAATCAAATCCAGGCTAGTCTGTTATACAAAAACAAAGTAGTTTGGCACGAATCAGCCGATTTTGTGGCAGAAGTATACATATGCAAGTAATGCAGCTTTGTTCTTTATCCTGCAGGGAGTATAAGAAGATATTATACTTGTTTTGGCAAAATAATTAACATAATGTTGTTCATATATTTTGTACTAACTGGATAGATTAAAATAAAAAAACCACATCTTTAAAAAATCCAGCAATAAAATTTACTAAATAATAATGTTTTTGATCAGTTTAACTGATCATCTTCAGTTACGATAAAATGTTCTTTGTTTCTGGTCTACTGACGTAAACATCAGAATACGTCAGTAGACTAAAAACTAAGAGCGGTTTTAAATTATATCCCATCTTTAAGAAAGATACATAAGAAAGCAGCCAGAGCTAACAATGTCGAGGTTGTGTATCGATACAACCCAACAATATTCAGAATTTTAAGAAACGATAAGAAACCATATAACCATAATTCGAAGATTTACTCCATCCCATAAATCGACCAATGTTTCAAATCAAAACTGGTCTACGTGGGTTCACTATGCATAATTCACAACAACGTCTCAAAGAACATAAATACACAATCAATTGATAAAAATCTTGATAATACGATGCTGGCAGCTTACTCGCAACATCAGGACATACACAAGTACAATGGGAGCAGCAACCATCATCAGACTCACATATAATATACACACTATGAGATCAGGAAAAATTGGAGATTTTTAAAGCGCACAAAAAGTCCTGTTGCATCAACCATATAGACGTGAACAGCTTGTCTACCGCATGGCAGTCCTTTTATGAAAGTAAATTTTATTAAGGGACATTTATTCATCTATTTTTACTTTTTACTGTTTATTTTATTTCTGTAGTTATTTATTTATTAATCTCAACTATGATTTCGGTTATTTATTTATTTAAGAATTCTTGTTATCATTTATTTAAAAATTTTTGTAATCATGTTCTATTTTCATTGTAACTGAATCATGTCATGGTACCATGAATTCAATAATAATTATATTATATCATTTAATGTAAAACGTAACACTTCCAGTGGTATTCCAAGTCACACGAGCCAAAGTAGTAATGCGCAAGCCACATCATGACCAGGGGCACATTTTTTTTATTTTAACATTATTCACAATGCTTATAATGTCATTGTCATTGCTTTTAATGCAGTATGTGCCGCATTAATGATGTTCACTCCAATTCAATAACATTCTCTCACAGCTGGCACTTGATATGTTATGATAATACTGAACAATTAGTTAAGACAGTTAACATGCACATCAGATGTCAGAAATTAATAAGAATAAAATATTTTCAATTAAAAGCCTACAGTTTTATGAAATAATACTTATTTATAATTGCATTAATAACAAAAATAATGAAGCAACCAAATTACAATATTAAATACAGTAATTAGTTCGTAATTTTAAAATTAAAAACAGACTGTTTCCATAGAAATCCAAATAAGTTATTTTAAAATTATAATAAATATAACCAGCCCAATAATTACTTCAAATATCAAACAGCTAGATTTCTATCCACGTCTTTCTCAGCAACTCAATTAACTATATCAAACACCTGAATTTTTGCCGAGCATAAATTATTTATTACTCAAATGTTTTCAACCTATTTGTTATAGGCCATCTTCAGGATTATCGTTCCAAAATGGAATGCAACGTTTTTTGAATACGTTTCATTTTTTAAATTTAAAATTTACAATAAATTATGTATATTAAATAAAAATTATAAATAAATACATTACATAAATAACAATAAAACAAAATAGCATTACTAAATAAACACAGTAAATAAGGCTACGTATAACTACTACAAGTTTTTAAGGGTTTTTAATCTCCATGTTTCATGTACTTCCATGCTGTTGAAAGTGCATTAGCATCCGTGGCATTTAGACAATTGTCTTTCATTTTCCTTTTATATATTTCCATTTTCTCCATTTCTAATGCAATAGTTGGAGATTGGACCATTTTAATGATTTTTGCCTCATCCCATTTTACATTAGCTCCTTCCGTCTGCGCCATGATTGTCAAATGATGTTGTTGTGCCCTTTATTTACATTGTACTTGTGTTCTTGTAGATGTATTGCTAAGTCTCTTCTGGTTATACCCACATAATCCTTTGCTACTCCTAACTCGATTTTCAAACAGTATTTTATAAACTCCAGCTTTCTCTTGCATTTTTACTCCGTCTTTATCATTTAGTAAGCTATAGATGTTGGGTGCTCTTTTATATATCATTGTTGCATTTTTGTAAGTACTCAATTCATTCATCACTCTTCCTACATGCTTATTGTAATGTGAATTTGTTAATTGCATCCACCTTAGTATCTTTTTTGCCTTTATGCTGTCTGTAACTCTTGACTAGGCCTTCAATTGTGGCAGTTTTGTAGCCTAAATTTGTTGCAATTTCTTTAATTCTACTAATCTCCGTAAAACAATCTTGAATGTTGGTTGAAATATAAAACGTAAATTTTAAATTTAAAAATGAAATGTATTCGAAAAACGTAGCATTCCATTTTGGAACGATAATCCTGAAGATGGCTTATAACAAATAGGTTGAAAATGTTTGAGTAATAAAATAATTTATGCTCTGCAAAAATTCAGGTATTTGATATAGTTAATCAGCTAGATTTCTTTACAGGAATATTAAGGCTAAAAATAATTACTAAGTAATTTGGCAAAAAGTAAGCAGTTAGGCTGTCATCTCTTGTTAAATTTGATAATAAATAAAGTTTAAAATATACTGGAAAACAGATCAGCTGGGAGCAGCACTTGAAACTGCAACTCTTGTTTACCATGCTTAATGTCAATGGCCTTATGGAAGACCATGGGTGCTAAGTCATCTCAGCTGACACTGTAAGTGACTGATATGGTTATATTTATATTAGTTTATTAATTAATCAGTCTGGAAGAAAAGAGTGGATGGAGGTCCAGGTAGCACAACTGGCAATATGTCTGCATGGTAAGCAGGAGTTGCAAATTCAAATCTTGCTCCTGGCTGAGCTCTTCTTCCAGAGTAGTCTAAAAATTAATTTAGTTATAATTACTATATTTTCACAGAATGACAGGCATGCTGCATATAAATAAGGGAAGACTAGCATGCCAGACAAAACAACATCAAAAGCAAACAAAAGTATATTTAGAGAAGTTTATCTTATATAAAAAGATTTGAATGATGTAAATCATTTATGTAATGTCAAAAGCAAGCATGTAATAATGACAAAATAATAATAGTCTTCCTCTGTGTCTATCTCATTATCTATGAGACAGACACAGAAGATTATTATTATTCAAAATCTCTGAATTTAGAAAGGTCCTAACTAGGGTTTCTTTCCCAGGATTCCCGCTGTTTATTCCCTACGAGAAAAATCGTGGGAAATTTTATTTTTCTGGGAAATCTCACATTTCAATAATAGTTTATCATGTCATGTTTTCTTTCTATCATTTATTATACGAAAAGTTGCATCTTGAAGACTCACCTAAGAGAGAAATTTTGAGGTTTTATGCTGCATATTATTACTGTACCTATGTTTTACAAGTCTATTTGTTAGTTCATGTAATATCTATGTACTGTGTTTGCACATCATTGAACAGCAGAGCACTCGCTGAAAGTAAATATCACTCATCGCACTTTAGTTTCGAATTTGCATTTATAAGTTAAGGAATTTGTTAAAGCTTACATTCCCATTTATATCCTATCGTTTGTAACTGTAAATGTGATTATTTGAAATTTCTCTATTAGTCAATTACTCGTATTTTACAACAATTTTAATATAATTTATAAAATCAAATCATTGGCATTTTCAGCTGCAGGTCTTTTTGTGACCAAATTGAGAACTAGATTAAGTGATCAAAATATCAACCATTTTTGTTTTTTGAAGTCTTATTATGAAAATTTATAAGTTTTTACAAGTTTTTTTTTTAGAGAGATTTTTGTTTTCATAAATTTTTTGAGTATTTTTTATGTTCAACTGAAAATAATTTTTTTTGGAGAAGTCGTATGTTTTGTTCAATTCAAAATAATTGTCTTTTTTCTCATTAAATTTATGGAATAAATATATTTTTATTTCATCTTTAGAAATAAAAACAGTATTTTTTCATAATCATTATTATGTTCATTAAAACTCCCAATGAAATGCTTTATTTTACTTTCATCTTATAATGTAGGAGAACATAAATTAATTGAGCATAATGTGTTGGCATGGGTGAGATTAGCCCTACACTTTTAGTTACTTATTAGAAAATTAAATTATTCAAATTTATGATATTCCTGTATGATATTTTTTATTCATATGAAATTCTAATTTACTATCTCATGAAATTCTAATTTACTATCTCATCCCAGAATTTCCTGGAATCCCAGGAAAAAAAAAAATTATTTTTCCTGTAATCCTGCTGGAGGCAAATTTCCTGGGAAATGAGAAACCCTAGTCCTAACACAAACCTTATGAGAAATGGGGATTTGGCTGAATTTTTATTGTTTTGTAGTTCTTGTAGTCCTGATCAAGTCTCCAGACACACAATAAGAGAATGGACAATTTTTCAATTATTGAGAGGCCACAATGCAAAAACAGTATAATTCACACACACATATTGTGAGACCTTAAATGTTTTCTGTTTCAAAATATAAATTGATATGTCCTAACAAGAGTTCCTTTTCAATCTATCAGATCTCAGAGGAATGAGTCTCTTGAGAGAAGAACACCTATGTGCCACGTAGTGTGTTATGAACCCAAATGGCATGAGAATCAATCTTGTATATATTGCGTAATGATTTACCCACAAGGAAATCTAGATAATGTTCCAAACATCAACCACATTTAAAAACACGTTTTATATTTTAAAACAAAAAAGATTTATGGTTCACAACATTTGTGAAAATTACACTGTTTTTGCATATTGAACTCTTGATAACTCAAAAATTGTCTGTATTTTGACTTGTGCCTTTAGTGAACTTCTGATCACGACCACTAAACTATAAAATATCAAAGATTCAGCCAAATTCACTGCAACCTATTTCCCATAAGATTTATGCAGGGTTCTTGCCTTAATTTGAAAGAGAGTGAGAAATATTACCACACTAAATGAAAACACACATAAAATTATGAAAGATTTAAATTTAAACTTACCATTTGAATATGCCCCTTCTTTAATTTGAAATAATGCAGCTAATCCAATGTTATCTTTAGTCATAACTCTGTTTAGCATATCATCAGAACCTTCTGCATTTGCCATTGCAAGTTGATTGAATTCAACTAGATATTCTTTTATTAATGTAAACCTAAAATAAAAAATATATAGAGAACTAAGATTATGGCAAATATATTTATAAATAAATAAACTTTGAATCAGTTTATTCTAAGGACTATAAGAAAAACTAACTTTTAATGTAAAGTACTTAGTTATAAAAATAACAACTATTACTTTCTTTACAAAAAAGTTAAGACTTGATAAAAAGTACATAAAAAACCATGAATAAATATTAAACTACAATCTGTTGCATATTTATCTGAACATCCATCAACAGCAACGTAATAATAAAGTAACATATTGTTTAAGTCCAATATACACTAACATTTATTTACTAACATTTGATGTAATACAATAAATGATTAAAAAAAAAAAAAAAAGGTACTGTTACTTTATAGATATCATAGAAAGAATAATATAAAAGTTATGGACTCACATGCTAGAAGTCCAAACCTAAACCCCATGGAAAATGTTTGCAATATGCTGGCAAGAACAGTTTATGAGAATGGGAGACAGTTTCAAAGTGTTACTGAGCTTAACCACTCTGCAGTGATTGACGGATATATCCAACAAGGGTGATCACATGGCACTGGAGAAGGACGTCTACATCCGCAAAAAAATTTTGCAGGTATCGCCAAAAACTAGCCAAAAATTACTGTGAAAAAAATTCACATAAAAAGGAATTACATGACAATAAAAAAAGATTTTTCTTTACTAGACATAACTGTTTAAAAATTTTTTTCCAAAAAGGAAACAAGAAAAACGTGTGGGAAAAAAAATTTCCCATGTTTATTCTCCACTACATGATAGCACCATATCTGACTAACCCTCACTACAAAAGTTAAACCTACAATTGTTGATGCTTGGGACAAATTGAAGCCTGAATACATACCTGTCAACTGTAAGCCTTTTGTGCATACCATTTGCCTTTTCAGGTACCTATCCATCTACATGCCCTTGTAAAAAAACCAAAATTATTATTATTTATTAACAGTATTATTTACAAAGGTCAAAGGGGAAAACAAGTAGTCCAAACATCCAAATTCATTGAGATTTGAAAGATGACTCTTGCAAGCAGCACCATATTAGTTTTGTTGAGATTGAGGGCTTGAAACAAGTCTGTAGAAGTTTGAATGATCAAGAGTCTTCACTTGCCTGCTTGATTGAATGCTCTCAAAGAAAAGTAAAGTAACTGCCAATTTTGTATAAAACATTGGTAGGCTGGTAATATTTAAACTATTACAGTTGTTGGGGCAGTGTGTATCTTAAATAGGAACTTTGCTTTAGGAAATGAATGAATATCATTCAGTCATTGCATCATCAGATGAAAAACTATAGTCAATATGAATAATGAAGAGGACAAGCATGCAACACCAAAGAAAACGAGCCAAAGGGACTGTACTGTACTTACATTGATAGATACAAAAAACTTTGCATGGGTAAATAAGTCCACTTGTGGTCCAAAATATAAAAAACACACTGCTTGTAATAATGACATTAAAATATCTGTAAGATGCAAAAGTGTTTGAAAACACCATGCCGGTTCAAGCACAGAGATAGTGTTGCTATTCAAACCAGAACTGCTTTTGTGGCAACTTATTTTCAAGATAAAAGTAAAGAAGTCTTTATGAATCAGGTATTATAAGCCTTTGTTACCACATTACTAAACTACTTAGATTGATAGATCTTAAATGTATTCATGATTTAAAATATTTACTGGTATTAGCTTACTAAAATCAAAACAATCCAAACTGTCACAATGTCTATACAATTTTTAATCATTTAAATTTTTAAAATGTGAGATCTTGTGAATATCATACACCTTACTTATTGTACTTAGAGGGTTGAGTGATATATTATTGATCTGAGTTTATTGTAAGGATCAATTCTACACCAAATTCATTACTCTATATAGTAAGGTAAAAATTTTGAATGGAAATCACAAGACTTTCACTCCAGACTGGATGTTCATATGTAGTTAATAGGACCCCTGGCCCCTAAGCTTTCTATATTTGATTTCAATTTTCATCTAACATCATTCTCAAAATTAATGAAAGACAAATGGACAGACATACAGATAACAGTCAGAATATATAGGTCAGCAATTTCAAAACTGCAGCCAATTAGGCCAGATAAAATTCTGACCTTTACAAAAATATGTGGGCATATTGTTTATGATTCAAATCCTAAATCTGATATTCTTTTTACATCACAGGCCACAAATATAGTGGTAGTTTTTATGACTCTTTAAAGTCTTGCTTTCAATCCAATGATGATGAATCATCAATATTTTGCAAGAGTAAGAGACTGTTTTGATGATCCAATGATCAAAGTATATTTGTTTTTATCATCAAGCAACAACAACCATTTTCTCAGAGTTCAATCAAATGCTTAAGAGAAATGAGCTTACTATTCATATACTAAGTAAGATATGCAAAAACATGGTGACAAAATTACTCAAGAGATTTATCATGAACAAACTTGAAAATGAACAACTTGGCCAAATAATGTATTTATGTGAGGACCCAGACAGAAGTCAATTTAGTGGTCCAAATGTTGACAATCAAAGGAGAAATTAAAGATCTACTTTTCCAGAAATGAACAAAGGAAGAATTAAAGATCTTGTTTGAACAAAGAAAGAATTTATATAAAATTAAAAAAAAAATGAAATGTGTAGAAAAGATCAAAGTTGAGGGAAACGTGGTTAGAGAGGAATCATGTTTAGTTGAAAGTTTGACCTCTCCTGTGTCCTATGCAGGGTTTCAAATTGTCACCAGGTGACAAGGAGAGACAAATCAAAAAGCAGAATAGGAGGTGAAGGGTATAAAAACATGCAACTCAAGGATGTAACATTCTTGGTTTGTAGCACTCCCCTCCAGGAATTTTGTGATCCTGTAATTCACTGAAAAACACAACAAATGATGTTCCTGCCTTTGTTATTGCCATGATGTAGTGGAAGGTGACATATATTGTCTTTGAGACATTAGATCTGGCAATGTATAAAATAAATAAATAAATACATTTCATAAAAAATTGCAAGGGCAAAACTTTTTAAATTTAGTAAATAAATAAATAAACAAAAACTTCTGTTAAGTATCTACTGAAAAATCTTCCATTTAATGATGAGTTACTTATGAATAACATTTTTGTGGATTACTGGGTAGAGTTCAACTTTTGTTGAATGCAGTATTTTGCAACAAGATTACCAATGTGTAGAAATTTTCTGCTGCTTACATGGATCAGCTATATGATGAATTTGCAGACTTTTTAACTGTTTGATCTACCTTCAGCCAACTTGATAGAGTGATGGGTATTTGGAATGCTATAACTCAGTGGTTCTTAACCTTTTTATATTCGTGGTCCACCAAATATTTCATAATTTTTTTGGACCCCATTTTTTTTTAAATAATTTATTTGGTTTCATTGCTTCATTGGAGAGAACTACACTGCATATGAAATTCCTTGAACTTCTATGCTTACAAACCCATATTTGATATAATCACGATCATATTTTCTAATTTTAATGTTACTTAATTTTATACATTCAGTTTTAGGACTTGTGGTTTTTCCATTGCATTTTTCACTGTATCATCATCAGAACTTTAACTAGTATTTTCTTCACTATATTTTCTTTTTGAAGGTCCTGGTCTGCGATTACTTACATTAAAAAAAATTTTCTAATGTTCCTTTATGTTTTTTGCTCATTTTTATGGGTTAATTATAAATAATTAAAATTAAACACACAATATAAGAAAGAAATGCACTATTATTCAATCCAAAGTTGATGCTAAAATTAAACTAAAACTAAAACACCCAAAATTTGTCATAAAAATTTTACATCTCTTTTGCAAAAACATTTAAATTTTCAAAGCCTACTATTTTTCCTAATTATTTTTAAAATTCTAAGCATTAATAGTTTCTTACAATTACTTTGGAATAAAAGAAGTAAATACTGCAGTGTAAGTAGCAAGAAATAAGAAATAAATAAAAAAAACTAAATCTTTCTTAAATTTATCTTTCTTATTTCACTTTTCAATACGATATTCGGTTATACACCAATTTTCTTTTTATTATATCCTGAAGGAAATTTTGCATAATTTGGCGGCCCCCGGCAAACTTCTTTTGGACCCCAGGAAGCCACGGCCCCTATTAAGAAACACTGCTATAACTAAACTGAAAGATTATAATGGAAAAGAGATTGAAAAGCTTGTGTATGTAATGTAAAAGAAGAGAGTATTCAGCATGATAAAAAGGAATAAAACTGACTGCAGTAGTAGCTTATGAAGTAATGGAACACTATCTTCTTTAATCACATGAAAGCTGTATTGGCTTAGTAAAAACATTAAGTGCTATAAACTTCAAACAAAAAAAACATGTTGAATAAAACTAAATGTGCCACTAGACTAGAACAAAAAGAATGACGAAATGAGATGACAACTATACTGTCTCATTTTTTTGGTACAGTATGCTCTTTGTTGTACAATATTGAATCTATTACTTTTTATATTTTAGTTTGTCATTCTTAGTAATATGCTAGATAAAATGTATTGCACTTAAAACTTTTCCATTTAAGTTTCATTCCATGTTATTCAGAAAGATAGTATTATGAATGCTCTGTATACATTATCATTGTTTTCATAATTTGTGCTGTATGAAAGAAAATACAATAAATCAAATTAATATGAATAAAAATGTGAGATTCGAAGGGAATAATTTAGTAATTAAATAATTAAGTTATATTTTAACATGATGACGATAGAAATCGAGTAAAAGGTTGGGTAAAGAAAAAAATTAGCCAAGTGGAAAAACCCACACACATACTATTTCTCCCAATTTCTTAATAGATAAGACCAATCGGATATCTCTCCAATTTAAAATTATTACTAAGGTTGTAACCAAACCACGACCTTAGTCTCTACCGGCCATTAATTTAGTATGTTTGACAACTGTTATCACTTTTATTGAAGTAAAATGAGTAACAATACTGAATAGTAAAAGTAATAAATTTGTTGAAACGTTCAATTTCTGACA